CCAAATTAAATATATATGTATTAAAATAATATCTTAACGAAAACACATCTGAATAAAAATTTTCTATACTAACATGTTGGTGATAACATTAAACTTTCTGAAGCATTTCAATTTCACCATGAAGGTAAATATAATAATGCTTGGGGAAGCTTTTTTGAACTTGAAGAAAAGTCTAACCACGTTGTATATGAAGCCAAGTTTATGATGGTATATTATCTTTTATTTAAACATCCAAAAGAACAAGATAATAAATTTATCCTTAAAATTATCAATGATGTTCAGCAATACATCAAAAATTTTTAGAATTAATAAAATCTGTGAAAACATCTGTTAAAATTAAACCATTTACAGATAATAATTTTTGAAAATATTAATAAGCTTAAATTTTGATTAGGTCTGCAAAGTCACATTTTCATTCCATACTTCATTAAATTGTAAAAAAAATTGGCTTAGAATACAATTCTTCAAATAAAATGTTTGTCAGATACAATGTGTTAATTTGAAAATATTAATCATTTCTGCTTACATGCAATTTCTTAATAAACAGAATATATAATTAATAAAATTCAAAATTAAGATTTAAAAAATGATGCAATGCTTATGACTATAGATGAAATTCATTTTAATTTTTTCAACAATAATTTCAACAAAAATTTCAATATTTTAACATTTTTATAAATTAATTATAAAACAACTATTGTATTTGATTTAAATTAATTTTAATTAGTTTTTTATATAATTTAAATTTAAATTAATTTTTGATATTAAAAAATTAATTTCACCAATTTCACCGACATCTATACTTACAGTATATGTCCGATTTATATTTGAAACTAATACTAGATTTCGATATTTGAATTCGACAAAATATGGAAAATCGAGAAAATATTGAAATATTCTATTGCTTGTTTCATCATTATCCTATTGAGTTTGAATTGAAGATGATATAATATAAACACGCATCGAAGTGAAAGTATACGTATTTAGAATTTTAATTGTTATTACGTTGATTAGTTTTTTTTACATTAATTAGTTTATTAATAAAATTTCGATCAATTTTTTACTAGTGTATCTTTGAATAATTTTTAGATACATATGTACAAATGCTCGCTAATGCTAATTCATCATAAGAACCTGAAAAATTACCTTCATTCTCCGATAGCAGCTAGAGGCCGTCGGAAAATAAACTGGTTCAAATAATAAAATTTATTATTTGTTAAATTACAAAATGGAAAAGCTTAGACAATGTCTCTAATATTATCTTTCGTCTTGTCTTTTTTTCATGAAATATTATTTTTCTCACTGTTTTTTATTTATTTTGAAAAAAAATATATTAACTCAAATTACTTAATATTTTGATAACTATTTTCGTATTATTTTTATTTAATTTGCTATTACTTAGTAAAGTTGCAGAGCTCATTACTAAATTATATTAAATTATATCAAATTACGACTAATAACTTCACTTGCACCAAAATCATGTTTAGACTTATGTTGATTTACCCATGCACTTGCGCTAGTAAGACCAAGTCTTGTAGCTTTTTTAATTAATTCCCATCTCTGTGCAATATCTTGTTTACAACTAAAGCCACCAAGTAAGCGCATTCCGATTTTATATATGACTTTACTTTTAGTAAAATTATTGTCTTCGTTCTGAATTAATTAAAAAAACTCGAATGCTGTTTCATAATCATCTAATGCACATGCGACACAAAATGTTTCGTTTAGTTTTTTATTGTATTTATTTTCAGCTTCTTCATAGTTTTTTTTAGCTAAATTAAATTTTATGAAAATATTTGGTTTTGACTTTGCTTGATTTTTGTCATTTTCAATTTGTTTAATTAAATCTAAGGATTGATCTAGTAGTTTTTTTTGCCTTCTTATCTGAATATGATTGCATTGCTTTATTGTTAAAGATTTTTAAAGATTTGTCCGTTCACTAATTTTAAGTATTATTTATATTTAACTTGAGCGTGGTCAAGAAATTCGTGGTCTAATTTTATATAATGTTTTATTATTTGATTTAAGGGTAAGTTTAATTTGTTAAATTTAAAGAGAAAGTTCAAAGGAATGAAGCCTTTTAATTTTGTGTATAAGAAAATTAATTGTTGATTTCTAATTTACAGAATTAAAAAAAAAAATCCCCAAATGACTCAAGATTTCAATTGTATGACAAAATTTGCTAAATATAAAAAATTTAACACAATAAACAATTGACCAAAATTTATACTAATAATTGAGCGATTAACTATCTCTTTTGACTAAATCTAAGCTAAAAAAAGAAATAAGTTTAATCAAAAGTATATAAGAAAAGTTATTATATATTTTAAAAATCTTTAGGTCAGTATAACTATAGTGGTGTTGGAAGTGGTTTTACCACAATAAATATTTAAATATCAATAATCTGTAAATTTTTAATTGTTACATCTTGTGATGGCCTGTCGAAATTTTGGATGTCAGAATTTTGTGTTAAAATCATTAATAACCTTAATTCTATTCTAATGCGATTATTTATAATTTTGTTAAAGTTCAATTAAACTTACAAATTGACTAAAATCAATTGATTTCAAAATAATTATAATTCAAAATAATTAAAAGATTGTCTCAATTAAATACAAAAAAATTATTTACGAGTAAACGTAAAATATATAAAAACTTTCGTCAAAAATACCAATTGAATCAATATTATATTTTCTATTCTTGTATTTTTTTTATTATTTTTTCAGTATTTTTTGGGTTGAAACCAAGCAAATATTTTTTAATAGATTTTTTTTAAAATTTTAAACACACATTTTTTTTAAGTTCTATCGAATATTCCCAAGTGTACTACTTATTAAAATTCAATTCAATGTTTTTTTCTTTAAACAATTAAGTCAATTAGTTCTAAAATTGAAAAGATTTATAGACAGGACATAGAATTTTATTGTAAATTTTCGAATCATATTACTACTTGGATAAACAAGTATTATCAAGGTCCTTTAAGAGATATTTCAATCATCCATGAAAAAAATTTTTAGCTAGATTATTTTCATCAAAAGAGCAAAAAAAAAATATAAATAAGTTGAAATAGTTCAATTTCTAAAAAAAAAAAAAGGGATTATCAGCTCTGGATTAAGTGTTCAGTCAAAAGATATAAATTCAAATTCATCTAAACCTAGTGCAAAAATCAAAGTCTCACAATGCAGAATGATAGCATACTTAAGGATAAACATACTTCAAGCTTGGATCTTTCTAACAAGAGACTTAATTCCAAAAATCTAAAAGAATTAATTAATGTACTTGAGAACAATACCATACTGACTTCTTTAAATCTTAGTAATACTAAACTTAGATCAAATATAAAATCATTAGCAGATGCACTTCGTAAAAACAATACTCTGAAATGTTTGAATCTTCGATATAATCAATTTGAATCAGATGGAGGAAAAGCATTAGCAGATGCACTTCGCAAGAACACTACATTAACTTCATTGAATCTTGTTAATAATCAACTTGGATCAGATGGAGGAAAAGCATTAGCAGTTGCACTCTGCAAGAACACTACACTAACTTCTCTGATTCTTCTTAATAACAATCTTGAATCAGATGAAAGAAAAGCATTAGCAAACGCACTTTATAATAACATCACATTAACTCTTTTGGATCTTGATGAGAATAAACTTGGATTAGAAGATGGAAAAGCATTAGCAAATACACTTTGCAAGAACATCACGCTGAAAGTATTGTGGCTTAATAGTAATTTTCTTGGAAAAAAAGAAGGCAAAGCACTAGCAAATGCACTTTGCGAGAACACCACGCTGAAAAAATTGCATCTAAATAGTAATCATCTTGAAACAGAGAGAGGAAAAGCGTTAGCAGATGCACTTTGCAAGAACACCGTGATGAAAGAATTGCATCTTAATAGTAATAATCTTAGGACAGAAGGAGGAAAGGCATTAGCAGTTGCACTTGTCAAGAATACTACTCTAAAAAAGTTGTATCTTTATGGTAATGGTCTTGGAAAAGAAGGAGAAAAAGCATTTGAAGATGCACTTCTCAAGAACAACACATTAACTTATCTTGATCTAAGGCATAATGATATGGTCTTAATAAAATCAGACAATCCATTTTACAATAAAAGTATAATAAAAATAAAGTATTTGAAAATAAACTAAATTTAATACAATATTAATTTAGCCTGAATTTATATTTTAATCTGTTTGGAATTATATCTAATTTTACTTGGAATAGAGCTTACAAATTCCTTATTCGAATAATATTCGAATAAATCAGAAAATATCTATTCGAATAACTAATATTATTCGAATAATAAATATCTATTCTCGTGACTGGTAATTGTGTTGCGAGATCGAATAATAGAGGCTTGGGAAATTAGAACTAATCCAATATTTGGGTATCATATCATTTTTATTTATTTATTTTATTTTTACTTTTAAAGGTACAGAACTAGCAAAAGCTCGTTAGCCTTGTACTGTTCTGCTTACATCATATTTGTGTAACTAAACTAATATTCTGTGTTGTGATATGTTTAATTATATATTAATATGATTAAATTCGTTTTATATACATAGCATTTAGTCCGATAATCAAAGTTCAGATGACTATAGTTTTAAAATATTGGTTATTAAATTTGACATGAAGTCTTCCTTAGAAAAAATTCTCAGAGATCAATTTTATTATCTGAATAAAAAGGCCAATATAATTGATTTACTTTTTGTTAGTAAGGAGACGCACTGTAGCAATTTAAAGATAATACTATACAGAGTTATCTCTATTTTTATACAATACTTTACTGGTTTAACGTAAATTATGGATGTCCCTAAGAGGATCATGATTGACTTTTTTGCGCAGTTCGTAAGACTACTTTTTCTAATCAAAAAAGGATGCAAATAGCGAACAATTTAGTTATAGAAATGATTGATGTTTTTGGTAATTGTTATTATTTAACCCAAAATTATTATTAAAGAAAAGGACGAAATCTTAATGTAATCACCAATAGAGATGTGATCCATTATCTATTTTCCTATTTAAAAATTATGGATATCCGAATATTCGGATTTTTTTTATAATAATTTTATTATAAAATTGAATTAACAGATATCCGGATCGCATCTCTAAAAAAAATAATCACAGAATTGGTCATAAGTTTTGTAACAATTAAAGTTCATTTAAAAAAAACAATTAAAAACTTCATTTCCGGAGCATCTAAGAACTAAATAATTAAAATCTAAGACAAAGAATGTTTAGAACCGCATTCCCAGGGCAACGCCCAAGCTTAAAAACTAAATAAATTAAAAGCTAAAATAAAAATCTTCATTCTCAGAGCAATGTTCAGGTCTAAGAACTAATTAAATTAAAAACTAAGACAAAGAACGTTTAGGATCCTATTTCTTGTACAATGCCCGGGCTTAAGAACTAGTTTTAATCTGATTTCATTATGATCTGTCACATACATAATAATTTTGAATTTTTCTATCAATTAAATTTAAACTGAATGCATCAATTGATTAATATATTAAAAGTTATTTAAGTAATATAAAGAATTCAAAAAAAAAGGACCAAGTTTGGTTACATGTACTTGAAAAATACATATGCATAAGAATTAAATATACACATTAATAAGATCAAATGCCTTATTCTTATTTACTCTAATATTATATAATAAGATGCTTTTAAACATGTAGAAATAAATTTAATTTCTTTGTCTTTACTTTCTTTGGCAAGTTTTAAAAAAATATCATATGCTTCTTTATAATTGTTTTTGCTATATAGTTCTAATGCAATTTTAAAAAAATGTTTTTCATCTATTTTGAAATATCCTTTGTTATAGTAATCTTTCATGTTAGATAATGCTTCTAATTTTATTTTATCATCTTTGGCTAATTCTGAATAAATTTTTCAAGTATATTCATACTTATTTTTTTTTTTGAAAATCTTTTGCAACTTCTATAGCAAATTGTCTATTTTGTTCTGTACTATTCCTGTGTATATAGCAAAGAGCAACATAATATGTAGCATTGTCAGAAATTTCAGTGCTTGAATTTACACTGATAGAAATATTTTTAAAAGAATTAAAAGCAATACTATAATCTTCATTCTTATAATCATTAATTGCAGTTTTAAGTTTTTCTTTCATCCTGAGAGTTGAATGAAAAGAAGAAATTCGTATAGGTGAGGCCAAGACTTCAATCGTACAAATTTATACAGTATGTGATGCTATAATTTAAACTTATATGAAAATGTGTAATTGACGTTGACAGTTTCAATTAAAATTCAATAAAAAAAGGAATTCAATAAAATTTGATTATAACCCTAGTGAGTGCGATTCTTTCAATTATATAATATAGACAACTTCAGAAAGTGTCACTCTTTTGTTTACCAATTCTTCGATTTGTTTTGATAATTCTACATTCTATATACAATAGATATAGTAAGTATTCAATATACAGTATAATGATATCTATTACCATAAAAAATTCACCTGTTGCTATAATAAATGTAGATTATTTTCTAGCTTACAATTTCTTGTTTTAGTTGCTTCGATCTCCTCAAAAAATTCTAAATTCTATGAAAAATATCAAATTAAAGCATCTGAGTGGCTGGCAAAGTATTAAATGAATAAATATGATGAAAAGTCTTATAAATACAATAATTTGACTCTTTTAAAAGAATATTTAAAATTTCTTAATCCTTTTTCCATAATTTAAAAAATTATTCTAAATAAAATTTATACACTTTGCACAACAAACACCTAGAAGAAAAATGTTTGATGAAGCTCTGAATCTACTAAACAAAGTTGGACAATCCCAAGACAAAGAAATTTCAACCCGAAAAGAGAAATTAATTAAAGAAGTGACTAAACATCTTAAATTACAAGGAAATAATATTGCAGTTAGTTCTCATATAATAGATGGAGTAATATTTTGATTATAATGATATCAGACATATTTTAGTCAAATTTAGAGGTGTTGATTTTTGCAATCATGAAGAATAGGCAACGGTTCATAATTGAGAATCCTGTTATTGGCTATCGCATGCGGGAGAAGTTTTTTTTGTAGTTAATCAAAAAGATTCCTTATAATAAAAGTTTGGCGTAATCCTGTTAATGATTATTAATGTAAGTATTTGAACCATTTAGTCATGTTAAAATATAATCATAGAAATCTTAACAAAAAATAAGTTCATATAATTAGATATTATATAAACCGATACAATATGACAAATACAAAATTTAATTTTAAATTTTTTTATTTGCAAATTCCACACATAACAAATACTTCATAATCACTATTTTGTTAGGTTTGGTTCAAAAGAGTGATGCTGGTGAAATTAAATCAGGGTGATGAAATGATTTCACCATTTCACAAATTCACAAATTTACTAATTTCACCAATTTCACCAAATTTTTATTTTGGTGTTTAATTTTACCAGCATCTATAGTTCAAAATCTCGAAAACATAATCCCAAGAATGAAATCTAGAAAAAATTCACAGAATTAAGCCAACCTAATTCAGATTAACTTTTCGGGATTCTGATCTTTCGGATTTTGTTGGAATTTGTCCGGCTCCCATTTTTAATTATCAGGATAAAAAAAAAATGCCAATACCATTATTAAATAGGTCGCTATAAGCAATGCACCCTCTAACCAATTTGATTTTCCATCTAAAAATTCAAATTCAAATTATATTAATTGCATTTAATATTAAAAAATAAATTCAAATTATATTTACCCTATGTTTAGTCAAATATCAATTTCATTATAAAAATTTGGTTTGGTCAAAGCAATCAAGCAAATATTTTTAATTAAGTTGTTTATTGAACATACCTGCACCAAGTAATTTGAGAGTAAAACTGCAATAAATAAACATACGGTTTCAAAAGGTAAAAAGAATAATGACATCAGTTGACCTATAATCCATCCTAATATCACTAATAGAGGAGTAACAAATAATACGATTTGCTAAAAAATATAAAAACCATTTAAATTATATCGATTTTTATATATTCATTATTAATTTACTTACTGTTGAACTGCCAACTGCAATACTAATAGCAAAATCCATTCTGTCCTTCATTGCAATTTTGACAGAAGTTGCATGCTAATAAATTTAATATCATATAAATTTAAAAAGTAACATTAACAGACAGCAATGTGTATTCAAATTAAAATACCTAAGCAGCATTTTCAATAATGGGTAGTAAAACTAACCCAATGAAGGTTTTGCTTAAACCATGAGACGTGACAACTCCTTCAATTGAACTAACAAGAAATTCGGCAGAAAATGCTGTTACAACTGTCACTATAACTAGCAAAAATAGTGCCAAATACTTGCTTATCTGTAGCTCTTCATTTTCTTTGGTTTGGAATAAATCTTTATAGGTTTTTAACTATTTATGTAAATAATTTGACTAGTTATACGATCCATATTTACAATGGCATCAGCGTATAAATATATAATACAGTACCTGAAAATATAAGTAAAGTATATATATTACAAATAACACTACTGAAGAGCTATAACTTAAATTCAAGATTCTAGAATCAGTCGTGCTGAGAGTATTATTAGAATTTCCATCAATAGCAAGACTAAATGCTGCAGGTACTATTAAGACAATGCATGCTAAAGTTATCATACTTGAACTTGCTTGTGCTGCAGTTGAATCAAAATTTTGTTCTAAACGACCTTCTTTAAGAATAGTGATACCACCAAAGAGAAAACATGACCCCAACACTACCAAAATATTTGAGAGTACAGATCCAAGCACTGAAGCCTGAACAACG